CTTGCTATCGTAGTATTTGAAAATGGATGCTTCAATGCTACAAAGTAGTGTATGTACTCAACCGATCCACAGCCAGAAGAATGGTGTCTATGGTTCACAATTTAGGCCGACCTTCAATGAAATTTATACCGATGTTTTCCCATACTTGTTCTGGGATCGCTAAAGTCTGCATTAGAACCCCTGGTGAGAAAGCCATTTATTAATTTAGGGGGTGTTTGATAGACATTTTTATGTAAAAATACATTTTAGAATAGTAAATTGATATGAAATGTGTAGTTGAGAAATAAGGAAATTTTTTTGATTTACGTGTAATATTATTTTAATAAAGAATGTGTGGTTAAAAAGAAGAGAGAGAAAAATGCATTTTGAAAAAAAAACGGGGCGTTAGTTGACAAACGGAGCAATTTTTGACGTATCTATGGAAGTCGCTTTTTGTTTCTTCTAAATAAACATTGCCTGCGATCCTCCTATATGTTGTTAGAAAACCTGAATGGGTGCCCACATTTTCGTCATGCCCTTCATGCAGCATCAAGGAAATTAGAGTTGACCCCTTCAACAATAACAACACCTTTGAATAATAACTGTCCATTCTATAGTGTATGATGTGGATAATTGGATTTTTGCTGTAGTTCTATTTGAGTTCGCAGAGTTTCTTGTTAGTCTCCAACTCTTTTGCTAGTTGTTTCAGCTATCCCTGGGGACTGATAAAGCCATTAAAAACCATCGGGTGGTTGACACGGGAAAGAGTGTCCGTCGCCTTGTTCTCCAACCCTGCCAATCTGAATTTCAGACTAGTAGCTCATAAGTTTAACCATGTGTTTTTGATAGTCCGGACTCACCACTCTTTGCTCCATCAAAAACTTCAAACTTTTGATCCTTCTGTATTATAAAATGTTGTCGTACGAGGTAATACTACAATTTCTAAACTACAAAGACAATTGCCATCAACTTTTGCTCATATACTAACTTTTTGCAGCTGTTAGGATTAAGTGGCGTGACTTAAAAAAAGCATAGGGATCATTCTTGCATCAAAATTGCTCCCAAACTGTTCCCCAACACATTTGTCTCTACTACCAACGTGCACATGAAGTTTGGCATTGCAATACAGGCAGTGAAACCAAGCTTTTGGAAGGCTTGTTTAGCTACCTCGTCCCAATAGTTGTTCTTTTTCAACCTTTAAATTAGGGGCTAAGCTAGCTTCCCATAATCTTTGACGTATCTTCTATAATAAGCCCTAAAAATCCATGGAGGTCGTGGAGTGACTAAGGGCTAGGCCAATTCATAATGGCTTTAGTTTTCCAACAGCCAGCTGCCACACATTGTGAAATCACATCTCCCAGATATTCCACCTTACTGTGCCAAAATATACATTTTTTCTTTTAAAATACAGCTGATTCCTTTCTAACATCTCCAGTACCCGTCTTAAATGACCCTTGTATTCCTCTATATCCCGACTATATACCAAAATGTCATCAGAAAACACTTGAACAGAATGTCTCAATTGATCTTTAAACATCTCATTCATCAAGGCTTGGAAAGTTCCCAGTGCATTTGTTAATCTAAAAGGCACATAAGAGACAAATCTGGTAACAGAATTCAAATCCAACTTTGTGAAGAAGGTGACCCTATGTAGTTTGTCGAGCAATTCTTCAATCATTGTGATTAGAAATTTGTCAGGAATTGTTGCCTTGTTCAGACTTTGATAATCAATACAAAAATGCCGTCCTCCATCTTTCTTCTTCGCTAACGGGATCGGTGTGGAGAAAGGACAAGTACTCGTTCTTACCATCCCTGCAGTTATCATTTCCCAGACCAACTTCTCGATTATATTTTCTGGATGTACGAGTATCGTTAGGATCACGTGCTCACTGGTGCTGTCCCTATTTGTACAATGATTGCACAATCCCTTTCTCGCTGTAAAGGTAACCCACATGGGTCCATAAAAGAACTATGTCGAATTCTATCAACCATGCTTTCAGCTCCTTTGGTACGTCCACCCTCACTTCATTGAGCTTCTCTGAGATACTGCCCAATTCTAATAAAATCCTCTCCCCATTCTCCTGAAAAGCCTCCAACATGGATTTCATCGATACTAAGGACTTGCTAAGGCTATGGTCTCCCTGCAAGGTTATTGCTGATTTCGCTACTTGAAATTTCATGGACAATGAACCCCAATCCAACTGCATTTTACCTAGCAAGCTTAACTATTTCATTCCTAAAATTACATCCTAACTCCCCTAGTCCAAAGGAAGGAAGTCCTTCATTATTTCCAAATTCTGCAAGCTCAGTATCACCCCTTTGCAAATCCCGACCCCTTGCACTGCTTGACCCTTACCAATTATCACGTATCCTGCATTTTTGTTCTGGGTAATTGCAATTTTTACCCTAATTATGCAGCAATGAAATTTTTGGTCACCCCATAGTCAATTAACACCACTACTTGATCTCGAATCCTTCCCGTGATTTTCATAGCTTGTGGTGGGTGTTAACCCAACCACAGAGTTCAAGGACAACTCAATCACTTCTGCCAAGGCTGTCGTGCTGCTGCTCTCGTCCAATGCCTCCGTGTCTGTTTTCTCCATGTTCCCATATCCTCTTCGCAGTAGATTACTATTATTTGCAATTCCTTAATTTTGCATAGACGACCGATTGCATATTTCCCATTGCAACGAAAGCAAAGATCCTCCTCGGCCTGCAATTCCGGCTCACTAAGTTGCTTCTAGGGGTGGGATCAAGGCTTTGCCGAGATCGATAGGTCTGATTCCAGCTGTTGTTACGGGATTGGGGGTGAAATTTTGGGACGAACCATAGAAGTATTTCAAAGGAATTGGATGATTATTCATGGGCTAATTGGAATTTAACGTGGGTTTACTTTTAACTAGACCAGATCCCGAAAATGGGCTATAAATCCGATAATTCTTTTCCTCAATTCTTTTGGCTGTATCCATCAATTGCTCCAGCTCAATGTGTCTTAGAACGCAATTTTTTTGCTTTAATCTCTGTCTTAAGCCCATTGATGAAGTGCTCCTCCATGATTGCATCTGAGAGATCTGTCAACGGAACAGCCAGGGTCTCATACAGCTGTTAGTATTCTCTCATCGATCCCTCTAGTTGGAGAGCCAGAAATCGCTCCTCCCTGTGCCGCCTTGCGTTGACCAGAACCTTTCCAAGAGTTGCTCCTTCAATTTTTCCCAATTTCGGATCCAGTTCCGGCCCTGTTGCTATTGATACCACTACAGAGCTCCACCTTCCAAGCATTTCGCCACCGCTTCCAACTTTTCTGTCTCTAATATTTGATTTACGTAGAAATAGCGTTCAACCTTTAAAATCCATCCCTCCGGGTTCTCCCCGTCGAACATGGGTAATTCCAGTCATCTACACCTCAATTCAGGCCGCCATGGCCCCATGCAAGCCTCCTTCGTTTCTTTGCTCACCTCTTCCCGTCTTGAAGCTTCTACAGAATCCATGGTGAAGGTAAAAGGGTGAGTATACTCGAATTGCTTTATCATTGTGGACATTTTTCTCAATTTTTGGCATCCTACGAAATTCTAACTTCATTGACTTGAGCCACAATTGAAAATCCTCCATTCTACCTAAGAGACTTTCGTGGTAGCTTTCAATTCTCCCCGTCCCAACTCCTCCACTCTATCTGTTAAAGTCATATTCCAAGGGATGCTCTGATACCAATTAATAGGTACCTGCACCGGTGGCTGAATTCTACAGAAAAACAGAGCACAGGAAAACAAAGACAACACGAGGATTTAAACAATGGCTTTTATATTGATGTAATTGTAAGAAACTTCAAGTACAAGACTGTATTTAGATGGCAGAAGCACAATATCTACTGCTCTGTAATTGTATTCAGCAACAAGGAAATGAAATGAAGGATATTTGGCATTCAAGAGAATATTTGGTATTCGAGAGACCAATACTCTTCAATAGTTCCTGCTAATTTTCAGGATGGCTTCCTCATTCTTTCCCTCCCTAATTATAGACTTTTTGATCCTGTAACAGCTTTCTAACTGCCTCTGTGAGTGACATGTGAAGTAGTTTGACTTTCCCTCAAGCTGTTTTCCTTTTTTGCCCCAGTTATTTTCTTGCTCCTTTCATACTTCAACCGAATTGGAATTCTATCAGATTGTATCAATTAGAGTGCGTTTGGTTTGTCGTATTGAGGCCATTTTCAGTTTTTAGTTTTATAAATTATATCACACTCAAAACATGTTTGGTATATTATTTTCAAAAATGGGTTTTCGAAAACAAGGAAATTTTTATAACATAAAATTCAAAATAACGTTTTTTGATTTTTTGAAAACACTCAAAAAATTCAAAACAAAGAAAATGAACTTAAAATTTTCTCAAATGAAAATGATTAATAAAATCACACAAAATCTACTCAAATACAAATACTCATCAACCAATCTCTCTCCGAGCTCCTCCAAAGTCCAAAATGTAATAAAATTATTTCTAATATTTTTGAACTGAAAGCATTTTCTAGTTTTTTGTTTTGAGAAACAATTTTTCAAAATGATAAGCTAAGCGTGTTTTCTATGATCTTAAAATAATCCCTCAAAACTGAAAATAGAAAATGAATTCAAAATTGAAAATGAAAAACAGAAATACAAACAAAACGCACCATTATTTTTTCCAAAAGAAATTATGTAAAAGTCAATGTCTTTAGCTCATTTGATAGGATAGCCACTTGCGTTTCCTTCTACCATTTTAGAAGAGACATGTCCATTCAGTTATTCTCTTGTTGTGTCCGGTTTGCTCCGAATGGGCAGAAAGAAATTGTAGGGTTGAAGGAAGAGGTGGCATTTACTTCTCTTTCCCCTTGCGTCACACTTTTGCATGGTGTCGTCGTAAAGCCTACTGAATTATCTGAGCATACACAAGAGCATAATAGTAATCAGCTGTTTCTGGCTCCTTTTTTCATTTAATCTCCACATCAGTATGTAGGGAGTTATTTACTTGGTGTTTTTCTGCTTGTCCTCTTAAAGGTAACTCTAGAAGCAGAAGTTACAAATAAAGGAGCGCTTGCATTATACAGTCGTCTTGGATTTATCAGAGCTAAGAGACTTTTCCGGTATTATTTGAATGGAGTAGATGCTTTTCGACTCAAGCTGCTATTTCCTCGCCCGGAATCTAACTTCCCAACAGACAATGAGAGTCATAGGCTTCTTACAGGTGGCATACAGCCTGAAGAAAATTCTATGCTCCAAAACAGCATGTAACAAGATATTTTTATGTTATACAGCTAGATATTCACTGTAATTGTGTAATATAGCAGATACATTGTTTCATGTCATAAGAAATTTATTGAAGTAAGGTCACTTAGCTACCAGAACTTTTGAGTGCGTGTTTGAACAATTTTTTATTTCTTTATTTTTTTTCCTGTTCAATTAAACAATGCTATCAAATCATGCACCGAAAGGTAGTTTCATTATATATATTTGTTAGCATTTTAGTGGTGTTGGAGATATAATCCTTACCATTTTTTTTATTATTATTTTTTTCTCTAATTTGAAGTTATTTTGGCAACATCAACAGCTGAGCCAGCTTGACCAAAGGCTGCATTATATATAAACACAAATGGGGAATTAATTGCAGGTTTGTACAAATTTTTGTTTCTTTATATTTTTCCCTTTCAATTAAACAATCATCTCAAATCGTGCGCTAAAAGGCAGTCTTATTCTATGTATTTGTTAGCATTTTAATGGTGTTGGGGTATAATCCTTACCTATTTATTTATTTATTTCTTAATTTGAAGTTATCCTGGCAACATCAACATCTGAGCCAGCTTGACCAAAGGCTGTATTATATATAAACACAAATGGGGAATTAATTGCATGTTTGAACAAATTTTTATTTCTTTCTTCGTTTTTTCTCCCTTTCAATTGGACAATGCTATCAAATCGTGCATTAATGTGAAGTTATCCTGACAACATCGACATCAAAGGCTGCATTGTATGTAACATAAATGGGGAATTAATTGCACAACTGCAGGGATCGGCAACATGTGCATCTCAGATTTTTTATAATACTTACACAAGGAATTGAAAAATTCTTTAATTTTAAGCTTCTAAAGAAAGTCAATGAGCGAAACTCAATGGACATCAAGTAGGTGAAAGAAATACCATTGAGGTGCAGCTTAATTTTATGAGAAGACTAATACCCAAATGAAACAGACTGATATATATGCATGCTTGTTTTGTTATTCCAATTGTCGGGAAAGGGATAAATAGTGAGTTGGGTTATTGAAGATTGCTACCAATAATAAATTGAAATTACACCAAACCATACTTTAATTATTCAACATTCTAAAATCAGATTGGAAGTTTGACATTTCAAAAATAAGATGAAA